TGATCAAAGGAGGTATAAAAATCAAAGGAGGTATAGATGACTGTACTGGAATTTCCCTTATTCTGTTGAGACAAGGATTCCAGTTTGGGCAGCTCATCTTCATCTTCATCATCCATGACGATCTCGTCCGCGTTCTTCACGATACTAGGCCCAGCAGGACCTTGGGACGGGGCTCCTCTTCCCCATTCACTGGTGCTTTCACTGGTATGATTGTATTCGGCTGTGAATCGCACATGCATATGTGCGGAGAACCACCAAGAGGGGCGTACCGTCTTCAAAAGGGTCATCGCGTGTGGGTTTCCCAGGTCACTCTTGTTAATACCATCCTTGAACCATGGCTTGGTCTTTAAGAGGTATTCGATATCTCCGTGATTGTAAATCCCTTCAGGCCAATCGTGAGAGAGCATCACTTCGGGCCCTGGAGATAGGAGGGACAGTTTGAATATATCGTAGGCACGGACGTGGTAGATTGAACGGAGGGAATTGTTACTATATGGCTGTTTCTCGAAGTGACCAAGGTTGTAGTCGTGGCGTTTGAAGATGCCCGAAGCACCTGCTATCCGAATCCCGTTCAGCCGCACACACCCAGACCCGCCTAGGTAGTATATGTTCGGTGCGAGCCACCCTCCATGGTATCTGTGAATTGGTAAGAAATGAGGTTACAGTAAAACGGAACATGAAGATACCTACAACTCCCACAAGTAGTTGGACGCTTCATGATTGCCCCCTATTACAATCGTCAAAACAGGAGCTGTTTTCTGTTCCGTATAATACCTTGACGGAGCGTAAGAGGTCAAGTAATGAGCATAGGATAGACTCTCACTCGTGAAAATCCCCCAAATGTCTGTATTTTTGTGGAACTGCCATGCAAAGCAAATCCGCCTCGTTTCTTATGGATTCAAAATCCCCGCAAATTATCAGTGCGTCAACACGTTGCCCCGTCTCATTTTCTAGATTCTGGAGTTCCTCATAGCTCTTATTTAGTGAGCCATGGCAACAGCCTTCAACGGCGATCTGTTATGGGTGAGAATGAAGAGTGTCAGCTTGATTGGATTACGAAATGGGTGCAAAACCTGACCTTCATAGCAGCTGAGAGATGAATTTTGACCGTTGCAGAAGTAGGGACGGGGCCAAGTTTGACAATAAACGAGTCACCTCTGCTCACCACCCTAACGCGCTTCAGCCTGGTTTTGAAGGTAGTAGTACACCTAGCACGTATTTAATAGATAGAACGGGATGGGTGAATTTTCATCAACTCTTTCGCTTGTCTGAGCACGCCAAGGTGAACAACAGATCTACCGCTCCTGAGGCAGATTTTTCAGTTATTCTATAACAAGTTGGATTTAATATACATGGCTAAACTTTTAAGCTCGTCTATTGATCCTCTTTTCAATATCGACTCACAAAGATTGTCACTAATGATGACCAGTAGTCTTTACGACGGCCTTGAATAACCAGGCGGCACGGGATTGACCTTATTCTCAACCTCTATCAAGGTACAGAATGCTTCTGTTTGAGGGTTTGTATACCATGAAGCTAATCTAAGGGTCAGAAGCTTGTCCGGTCGAGCAAGGAGTAGATCCTACTCACGTTGCGCCCTTGGATTGATGTTACGATTGGGACCAGTCGCTGTAGGAACAAATTGTTGCACACTTGATATTTCTAATTCGAAATCTTCATCCGTTCCTTGCTCAGATGACGTGCCCTGTTCCCCTTTTTCTGATTTCATGCTGGTAATTTTTTTCTTGACCCATTCTAGTTCGGTCTTGACCCAATCCTTGGCAAGACTGATCCTTGGCTGTACACTGTGCTTGCGGTCCGTTGACAATAGATGATGCATGGCTTTAGAAATTGCTAGCCATTCCATATCGAATGTTAGCCGAGGAGGGAAATGTGATTGAGGAGATGGTATATCCACGATCTGTTAAATATAATACACGGGTCAATCCTAATCAAGTATATCATTTAGAGAAATATCACCTCTAAGAATCTTCGACGGGGTAGACACTTGTCTAGAGCCAGAAACTTGGTAGTCGACGGGAGAGTTGGATCACTTGATGCACCACTCGATGATGCAACTGCTGGTTGAGCAACAACATCATCCAAGTTAGGCGTTTCTTCGGTCTGTTGAGCCGTGGAAGTTGTGGCAATGGGCTCGTCGTCTTCATCATCCATGACAATCTCGTCTGTGTTCCTTGCTGGTCCCGATGGTGCCGCGGGTAGGCTGGAAGTGGTGGGCAGTTCATTATCTTCATCTTCTTCGTCCATGACAATTTCATCCGTATTCTTCGCAACATTAGGTCTAGTAGGACCTGATGATCTGTCGTAGGATGAATCCCCCTTTCCTTTCCCCCAGTCACTCACACCTCCACCTGTATGGTCATATTCGGCTGTAAACCTAACGTGAAGGTGTGCAGAGAACCACCAAGAGGGGCGCAAGGCCTTCATGAGATCCATCATATGTGGATTTCCGAGGTCTCCTTTCTCGATATCGCTCTTAAAAAATGGCTTGGCTCGCAGAAGCCCTGCCGTGTTTCCATGTTTGTAGATACCCTCTGGCCAATCGTGGGAGATCATCACCTCTGGGCCTGGAGTGAGGAGTGAGAGTTTGCATACGTCGTAGGCCCGGACATGATACACCGAGCGAATGGCTGAGTTATCATAGGGTATTCGTTCAAAATGGCCGAGGCTGTAGTCGTGATGTTTGAAGATACCAGAGGCGCCTGCTATTCGAATCCCGTTTAGGCGAACGCAACCAGACCCGCCTAGGTAGTATATGTTCGGCGCGAGCCATCCTCCATGATATCTGAAAAGCAGTGAGAAATGACATGATTACAAGAATACGGAGATTTCTCACAACTCCCACATGTAATTGGACGCTTCATGATTGCCACCAACGATAATCGTCAAGACAGGGGCTGTCTTTTGTCCAGTATAGTACCTTTCGAAGCATGAATAGCCGAAAGAGTCCCAAGATATAGAACTTACTCGTGAAACTGTCCTAATTGCCTGTACTTTTGTGGGACCGCCATGCAAAGCAAATCAGACTGATTTCGTATGGCCTGGAAATCTCCACAGATTATCAGCGCGTCAACACGTTGTTGTGTTTGATTCTCCAGATTCTTGAGTTCTGCGTAGGTTCTGTTGAGTTCACCATGGCAGCAGCCTTCAACTGCGATCTGTTATGGCCATCCAAATTACGGATAGTGTCAGACTGGATGGACTATGAAGCATGGATGAAATCTAACTTTCATAATAGAGCGAGATACGATTTTCGACTGCTTGAGGAACTATTTCGATACAAGGTCGAATGGTCGTTGACAAGGAACATGAACGATCACGCGAACACAAACTCGACCACAACAATGCGCTCAAAGTTGACACTGGGAGTGACGATATTCATCAACACAAAACTTGAAACAAACATGGAATAGATGAAATCTCATCATATCTGAGCACGCCAAGTCGAGTACCGGGTCCGCCTTATTACGACGAAGAATCTCCCCGTCATCCTTGCCAAGCTCAGAATGTTCAGAATATTCACGAATGATGCCGTCATTGGTCGGATATTCTTCCAGGTTGCCTTCGGAGTTTCTGCAGGGAAGCGGCCAAATAGAGTGGGTCACCAGCTATGACGTTCGTCCCCACTGGCCCATATTTATAGGGCTAGTGAACGCAACATCACTATTTCGACTGCTTATACCTCCCCCACAGTCACACCCTCCTTTGCATGCTCGTATAATTGTTATTTGTCCGAGTCTCGATATTCAAGATGCACAAACCAACGATTCAAGTCTTCGCCATCGCGTTGTTGAGCTCGGTACTGCAGGTGAACGGCTCACCAGTTGCTGAACCAGCACCTAGTCCACCGCCTACAACTGTACAGCCTCTGAAGAGAGGGTTTTCTGAATGGGCGTCCAGTGTCGTCAATGGTCTACCCACTGACGTCGCCAGTGGTATCCTCCCCGCGTATCAAGGCTTGCCTTCATCAGACGATATAAAGGAACAACTTAATATAACGGATGCGGACTTGGACAATCTTCCTCAAAGTGTTCTTAATATACCGTAAGCGTTTGCTAGCCCTATAAGTAACGCACATCTGACCCCTTTTACAGCTCTTATGCTAATTGGACAGGACAAGGATGGAATGTTAGAATTCACGGCGCAGCATACAAAGACCCACCGGCGACAGATGAACAGTTGGACGACATCTCGAACGTCTTCATCGCCGACTTGGATGTCAGTCAATTAAACGATACTGAGAAGGCACAATCACGCAACATGAGCTCTCTTATGATTGCTATTGGTACTCCGGAAGTGGCCCTCAACTTTTCTTTGACCAACCCGACAACTGGCAATTCCCTCCTTATCCAGTTCCCGAATGTCACAGACGACAGAGGAGAGTTCGACCGGTTCATCCAGCTGAATGAGACTCAAGTTCCAAATAATAATACGGTCATGAGCTGGCCTTTGTATACAAATAACATTGATAGTATGTCTCGTAACTTTTCTCGACTTCGTCGTAGAGTGCTAATATCTTCGTAGGCGGAAACTCTACCATGTGGTTCGTTCCTCCGGAGGGAGTCACCATTCTATCAGACATAGACGATATTCTCCGTTTCACCCAGATCTATGTTCCGCAGAATGGTCTCAACAACTCCTTTGCGCGACCATTCGTCCCGTGGGCTGATATGCCAAGTGTCTATGTTCAGTGGAATCAAGCTGTAAGTTACAAGTTTTACTAAATTCTGTTCAACCTGTTCATAAGATGCAGATGCCCAAC